GTGCCTGACCTGAGCTTCCTCTTCCTCTCCTTTGAGGACCCAGGTATATCTAGGGAGCTATGTCAGCATTTCAATCCTTTTCTGAGCCAACATTTTTGTTTGTTTGTTTGTTTGTTTCATTTCCTCACGATTATAATTCCTCTTTAAATTCCCAAACACATTTTGTTATCTGAGTGCATCATACAAGTAGCTTTTCTTCTTAGTTGCCTAAAGCCCATCTGCCTGACAAGACTCACACCTGTTGGCTGCACCTCAACAGACTGGGATATCTAAATGCTTCTCTAGAACAGGAGCCTAACACTTTGTCCACTGCTGAAGACCTTTGAACTCTACTCACTGGGCCAACTTAACCTTGCTCCCTTTCATCAGGGTTGCAGTATCCATACAGCCTGCTGGGTACTGATTTCCAAATAGCATGATCCTCAACTCAAGAACTCCCATTGGCAATCCATCCATCCTTCTGGCCCCAAACCACTCAGGAATGAGGTCATGTCCTTACACTTCTATTTTCCACCCAGAGAATAGCAACACAAACCATTTATGTTGTATGGAAATTTCCCAGAATTTCTTCTGCTAGAGTGCTCCTAAAAATAAATTACCACTCTATGAGAGAACTTTCCCATGATGCCCATCAAACATTTGACTGCCTGACATCAGTCAGGATACAACACGAAACCATATTTATGCCCACAGAACTACCTGCTGCTCTTCAGTGCAGGGTCTTGTTTTATCAAACACCACTGACCAGCTAGCAACTATGTTTTCAAATAGTGTAGGAGAAGAATCTGCCTCAAGTATCCTCAAATCCAAAACCCAAGACAACTTTGCCAAGGAATCCTACTTGATTTCAGCCCCAAATTCCAGATTCCAGCATTTGTATGATGGCAGAAACTCCTGTCATATAAATTGTCACCACCTATGGGCCTATAGGGACTACCTCAGGCCAACTCTCAGTCAATCTATTAACAGTTTCGGCTCAGGGTCTGCTGAAATTCAGATACCTCTCTGTTGACTTTGTGGGAAGAGGCTAACAGGATTTTTACATGAGGAATATGATTTTTCCATAATCAAACTACTCCTAATAGTCTCTGAACTTCCTGCTGATTAGCATGATCTGAAAATCATGACAGTGTGTTGCAAATACTGACCAGTATCTCTGTTGCTCCAACTGACATAATTCTCAGGAATTTTGCAGATGGGACTTGGCCAGGACTATTAGCTGGCAGTTTCAACTACCCTCCAGTTGTTCTACAGATACTACAGGTTTTCATTCTTTGTAGTTTATTCATCTGAGGAAGGAATAATTACAATGTGTGCTAATTTTCCCCCAATGGTCATTAACTCCAAATCTTGTCTAACTAAATTATGGCAATTTAATTATGGCTATTTAAATTATGGCAATTTAAATTATGGCTAACATACCGTGGATATAAAGGGAATGTACATTGATACCTAATCTATGAAAATACACAATTGTAAAAATGTGACTCAAACTATTATGAAAAAGAAGGTGTTAGCTAAGTCTATAAAGGTCTACCCATCCCTCTTGGCCTATCACATTTCCGTAACTGACTGAGCCACCCAGGTGCCCTTGGCCTATCACATTTCTTAATCACATAGAGTCCAGCTCAAACAATCAGGGAACACCTATTTAATCTTGGATACTCTTATTCACCTCTTATCCATTGACATACCAGAATCATCTTTAAAAAATGCAAAAGTTTACGGGGCACGCCTGGGTGGCTCAGTTGGTTGAGTGTCCTACTTCGGCTCAGGTCATGATCTCACAGCTTGTGAGTTCAAGCTCCGCGTCGGGCTCTGTCCTGACAGCTCAGAGCCTAGAGCCTGCTTTGGATTCTGTGTCTCCCTCTCTCTCTGCCCCTAACCCACTTGTGTTCTGTCTCTGTCTCTCTCAAAAATAAATAAACATTTAAAAAGTAAAAAATAGAAAAGTTTTAGTGAGGATCATATACCAAACTCAATCATTTCCTTTTAGGAGTAGTGCCACATTGTTCTTCTTGAATTCAGCACTGCTAACAGTACCGCTATGAGAACGAGGAGAGTGTAAAGTTTCCCATTTAGAATACTACTTGGCAATGAGAAAGAATGAAATCATGCCATTTGCAGCAATGTAGATGGAACTGGAAGATATTATGCTGAGTGAAATAAGTCAGTCAGAGAAGGACAGACATCACATGTTTTCACTCTAATGTGGATCTTGAGAAACTGAACAGAGGACCACGGGGGAAGAGAAGGGGGAATAAATAGTTACAACAGAGAGGGAGGAGGGCAAACCGCAAGAGACGCTTAAATACAGAGAACAAACTGAGGGTTTATGGGAGGTGGGGGAGAGGGGAATATGGGTGATGGGCATTGAGGAGGGCACTTGTTGGGTGTTGTATGTAAGCCACTGGGTGTTGTATGCAAGCCAATTTGACAATAAATTATATTCATTAAAAAAAATTAAATAAGTAAATGTTCCCATTTACAAGCATATCAAAACTGGGCTGCAGGTTAAAACTAGATAGATGTCCACAGCGGAAAGGATGAAGACACCGTGATTCATTCATACACAATATCCATCCCAATTATGCGCTCAAGTATCAAAGCCCTCCAGCCAAAAACCGCCAGGAGCACAGCTGTAGCTGAGAAGTTTGGGTTCATTGTCAGTACAGTGAGGAAGGGCACACACCAAGGGGAATTGCAAAGTGGTGCTTCAGTTCAAGGGTGTTGGGAAACACTTAAAAAGGAATTGGGCTTGTGTTAGGTGATTGAGGGGATGTTGTGGGGAAGCAGGCCTCTGTCCTGGGCTGGATGAGGTCAGGGAGCGTAAGTATGCTAGGATTGGGTGTCTTAGGAAACCTTTTCTAGAAGAAGAGACTTAATGAGGCAAAAGCAAAAGCAGTGATTGGTAATGAAGCAGCAGTCATTCATTATCTAGGAAAAAGAGACATGTGCTACTGTGGGTTTGGCACACTAATATTGCTTTTGTCTGTACTGAAACGTAACTGGGAAGTGATCTTACTTTTTGCCTCTTTTCATCACAGACACTAAGTGCCCTCGTGTGCTGTTGGTCTTCTGAAACTTTCTTTGTGTCCAACAAGATAACACCATGTCCTGGCTCTCAACCCAGCTCAGCCCCTAAGAACTGCAAACCTGATGCCGCCAGGTCACTTCCCACATGGCAGGGCTGCTTTCCTGTTTCTCACCTGCTACATCATTGCAGATAAGAGAAGAATTATGGCTCAGTTAATAGTAGAGTTTGGTGGAATCAAAAATGGATATTCAAGCCTAGTAAATGTTGATTAGTGCATTCATGTTACAGAAACCTCTAGTCTCTACTGATGCACCCGAGAAGAGGGCCTTATGTGTAAAAATTGGGTAGACATACACAAAGTCCATTTCACAATGACACAGGAAGGACTAAATAAAATTCCAGGTATCTGTCACTAAGGACTGATGAAAGCATGGGACAACCACTTCCCAACATCTTAAAAATATACTATTTTTGATGTTGCTCAATGTTAATTGTATTTGAAAACAAACAAACTGATTAGAGATAGGAGAGACATGATAGGCATGGTACGTGGTTGGAGTAAATCAAATGAAAGGACATTCTGGCCGAGCCCAGCAGGATCACATGCAGGACATCCAGGAGACTTCCATCTCACAATCACGTCTTAAAAATTTTCCCAAGCAAATCCTTAAGGCCTGCAAGAGAATAAAATATTCGTCAAGCAGATTTCAAAAAGGATGAAGAATGTGGCTTCATTTGGGGAATCTTCAAGGAAACCAACAAATGTCAAATGGCACTGAATTCCATGGAGTCAAATGGCCATGAGATGTTCATCCCCCAAAAATAGGGCTTGCAGGCCTGGTTGGGAGCCCAGATAAGCTCGAAGTCTAGAGAGGCCAGGAGGTAGGTCCACAGGTACTAGTTCTCCCTCTATGATTCAACAGAGCAACCCTGCCACCTTCTCACCAGGGATATATACTCATTTTCTCCTCCATGCACTGCCCACTACTCACCCTTGTGCAAGGTGCCAAGCAATGGCCCCGACACTGAAAGGCTATAAAGCAATATTTGAGAAATTTTCCTCAAGTACAAACAATTCTAAAATTTGTATGGAACCACAAAAGACCCCGAATAGCCAAAGTAATGTTGAAAAAGAACACCAAAGCTGGACTTCAAACTGTATTACAGACTTCCAGACTTCAAACTGTATTCCAAAGCTGAAGTCATCAAGACAGTATGGTACTGGCACAAAAACAAACTCATAGATCAGTGAGATAGAATAGAGAACCCAGAAATGGACCCACAAATGTATGGCCAACTAATCTTCAACAAAGCAGGAAAGAATAACCAATGGAAAAAAGACAGTCTCTGCAAATGGTGTTGGGAAAACTGGTCAGTGACATGCAGAAGAATGAACCTGGACCACTTTCTTACAGAATACACAAAAATAAATTCAAAATGGATGAAAGACCTAAATTTAAGACAGGAAACCATCAAACTCCTAGAGGAGAAAACAGGCAACAACCTCTTTGACCTTGGCCGAAGTAACTTCTTGCTGGACATGTCCCTGGAGACAAGACAAACAAAAGCAAAAATGAACTATTGGGATCTCATCAAGATGGAAAGTTTCCGTATAGCAAAGGAAACAATCAACAAAACTAAAAGGCAACTGACGGAATGGGAGAGGATATTTCCAAATGACATATTGGATAAAAGGTTAGTACTCCAAATCTATAAAGAACTTATCAAACTCAATCCCCAAAAAACAAACAATCAAGGTAGGAAATGGGCAAAAGACATGAATAGACACTTTTCCAAAGAAGACATCCAGATGTCATCCAGATGGCATCATCATCAGGGAAATACAAATCAAAACCACAATGAGATACCACCTCACACCTGTCAGAATGGCCATAATTAACAACTCAGGAAACAAAAGATGCTGGTGGAGATGCAGAGAAAGGGAATGCTGGTGGGAATGCAAGCTGGTGCAGCCACTCTGGAAAACAGAATGGAGGTCCCTCAAAAAATAAAAAATAGAATTGCCCTATGACCCAGCAATTGCACTACTAGGTGTTTATCCAAAAGATACAAAAGTGTTGATTCGAAGGGGCACATGCACCCCAATATTTAGAGTAGCACTATCAAAAACAGCCAGATTCAATAAAAAAGAATGAAATCTTGCCATTCACAACTATGTGGATGGAACTAGAGGGTATTATGCTAAGCGAAATTAGTCAGTCAGAGAACGATAAATATCATATGGCTTCACTCATATGAGGACTTTAAGATACAGAACAGATGAACACAAGGGAAGGGAAACAAAATAATATAAAAACAGGGAGGAGGACAAAACATAAGAGACTCTTAAGTATGGAGAATAAACATAAGGTTACTGGAAGGATTGTGGGAGAGGGGATGGGCTAAATGGGTAAGGGGCATTAAGGAATGTACTCCTGAAATCATTGTTGCACTATATGCTAACTAACTTGAATGTAAATTAAAAAAATTTTTTTTAAAAACCAGCCAGATTATAGAAAGAACTCAAATGTCGATGGACTGACAAATGTATAAAGTAGATGTTGTCTATACGTGTGTGTGTGTGTGTGTGTGTGTGTGTACACACACACAATGGAATATATACATTGTATATATACAATATACGTTGTATATGTATATAGGGTGGAATATTACTTGGCAATCAAAAAGAATGAATTCTTGCCATTTGCAACAATGTGAATGGAACTAGAGTGTATTATGCTAAGTGAAATAAGTCAATCAGAGAAAGACAAATATCATATGATTTCACTCTATGTGGAATTTAAGAAACAAAACAGATGAACATAGTGGAAGGGAAGGAATGAACAAGAATTCTCCATAGAATCCAAAGGGCTATGAATTCATAACTTGAGGGATTCATGGCAACTGAGAAATGTTCTCAAAGTAACCCATATACTTGACATATACAAGACGGACTGGGAGTGGAAAGGGGTGATCAATCCCAGACAACCAATTTTCCAGGTCTTATCTAAGGAAGAAAATTATTTGAAACCCCTTCCTCCCTCAGAAAGGCTATACTCCTTCAGAGTTCAGGTGAAGGAGCCCAAATAGGAGAGAGGGTTTTAGTGACAAACAAGAGAAATGCGGGATGTCCCAATTTCAAAGAGGACCAAGTCAAGAGAAGGGGTCCTCTGTTCAGACATGAACTGTGTATTTCTAGGTGTTGATGAAGAAGAAGAAACACTGAGGCAGCAGGAGAGAGAAAGGTCAAAAAGGTCCTTTTAGAACCCAGGCTCAGGGGTGCCTGGTTGGCTCGGTTGGTTAAGCATCCAACTTCAGCTCAGGTCATGATCTCCAGGTTCCTGAGTTTGAGCCCTGCATCAAACTCTCTGCTATCAGCACAGAGCTTGCTTCTGAACTGCATTCCTCCCCCACCTTCTCTCTCTGCCCCTCACCTCCTTGCACTCTCTCAAAAATAAACATTTTTTAGAAATTATTTTTTAATTAAAAAATTTTTAATGTTTATTTATTTATTTTTTGAAATGTTCATTTATTTATTTATTTATTTTTTATTTACCTTTATTTTTTATTTTTTAAAATTTACATCCAAATTAGTTAGTATATAGTGAAGCAATGATTTCAGTAGATTCCTTAGTGCCCCTTACCCATTTAGCCCATCCCCCCTCCCACAACCCCTCCAGCAACCCTCAGTGTGTTCTCCATATTTATGAGTCTCTTTTGTTTTGTCCCCCTCCCTGTTTTTATATTATTTTTGTTTCCCTTCCCTTATGTTCATCTGTTTTGTCTCTTAACGTCCTCATATGAGTGAAGTCATACAATTTTTATCTTTCTCTGACTGACTAATTTCACTTAGCATAATACCCTCCAGTTCCATCCACGTAGTTGCAAATGGCAAGACTTCATTCTTTTTGATTGCTGAGTAATACTCCATTGTGTGTGTGTATATATATATATATATATATATATATATATGCACTGCCCACTACTCACCCTTGTGCAAGGTGCCAAGCAATGGCCCCGACACCGAAAGGCTATAAAGGAATGTTTGAAAAAGTTTCCTCAAGTACACATGCAACCTCTCCCATCTGTTCAGGGGAAAGTCTTTCATTGGAACTTTTCCATTTCTTCATCTTTACAGTGTTTCCTTAGTAGAATGACTCTACGATTTAAATTACATTTCTATGTGAGTTCTTTTTTTAGTTTATTTACTTATTTTGAGAGAGAAGGAGAGAGAAAATGAGCAGGATTGGGGCAGAGTGAGAGTATCCCAAGCAGGCTCCACGCTGTCAGCATAGAGACCAATGCAGGGCTTGATCTCACAATTCATGTGATCATGACCTGAGCTGAAATCAAAAGTCAGTCACATAATCCATTCAGCTGCCCAGGCTGAGTTTTACACCACAATACCTTGCATATGTTCACAGTCAATAAATCTCATAATCGATGATACGTGAAAGTAGTATAGGAAAGATGAACCAGGAATAAGAGACTATACTATCTTGGTCCTCAATGGATTTCCAAATAACCAGAGATACCCTGAATAATGTTTAAAAGCATCTACCAAAGGAGACCTCATTTAAAGCTATTGTCTACCTTTAGAAAAGACTTTTAAAAGAAACAAAAACTGGGGCTCCTGGGTGGCTCAGAGCTTAGGCATTCAACTTCGGCTCAGGTCATGATCTCATGGTTCAAGAGTTCAAACCCCACATCAGGCTCTGCACTAACCATGTGGAGCCTGCTGGGATTCTCTCTCTCTTTCTCTTTTTCTCTGCCCCTCCCCACTTGCGTTCTCTCTCTCACTCTCTCTCTCTCTCTCTCTCTCTCTCTCAAAATAAATAAACTTAAAAAAAAATAAAAGACAGAAGAACAGACACTCAGATCAATGGAATAGAATAGAGAACCCAGAAATGGACCCACAAACATATGGGCAACTAATCTTTGACAAAGCAGGAAAGAATATACAATGGAATAAAGACAGTCTCTTCAGCAAGTGGTGCTGGGAAAACTGGACAACGACATGCAGAAGAATGAACCTGGACCACTTTCTTACTCCATACACAAAAATAAACTCAAAGTGGATGAAAGACCTCAATGTAAGACAGGAAGCCATCAAAATCTTCAAGGAGAAAGCAGGCAAAACCTCTTTGATCTTGCCCACAGCAATTTCTTACTCAGCCTGTCTCCAGAGGCAAGGAAAACAAAAGCAAAAATGAACTACTGGGACCTCATCAAAATAAAAAGCTTCTGCACAGTGAAGGAAACAATCAGCAAAACTAAAAGCCAACCGACAGAATAGAAGATATTTGCAAGTGACATATCAGATAAAGGGTTAGTATCCAAAATCTACAAAGAACTTATCAAACTCAACACCCAAAAAACAAAGAATCCAGTGAAGAAATGGGAAAAAGACATGAATAGACACTTCTCCAAAGAAGGCATCCAGATGGCCAACCAACACACAAAAAAATGCTCAACATCACTCATCATCAGGCAAATACAAATCAAAACCACAATGAGATGCCACCTTACACCTGTCAGAATGGCTAACATTAACAACTCAGGCAACAACAGATGTTGATCAGGATGCAGAGAAAGAGGATCTCTTTTGCATTGTTGGTGGCAATGCAAGTTGGTGCAGCCACTCTGGAAAACAGTATGGAGGTTCCTCAAAAAACTAAAAATAGAACTATCGTACGACCCAGCAATTGCACTACCAGGCATTTATCCAAGGGATACAGGTGTGCTGTTTTGAAGGGACACATACACCCCCATGTTTATAGCAACACTGTCAACAATAGCCAAAGTATGGAAAGAGCCCAAATCTCCATCGACGGATGAATGGATAAAGAAATATGGTATATACATATATATATATATATATATATATATATATATATATATGTATATATACATACAATGGAGTATTACTTGGCAATCAAAAAGAATGAAATCTTGCCATTTGCAACTACATGGATGGAACTGGAGGGTATTGTGCTGAGTGAAATTAGTCAGAGAAGGACAAAAATCATATGACTTCACTCATATGAGGACGTTAAGAGACAAAACAGATGAACATAAGGGAAGGGAAACAAAAATAATATAAAAACAGAGAGGGGGACAAAACAAAAGAGACTCATAAATATGGAGAACAAACTGAGGGTTGCTGGAGGGGTTGTGGGAGGGAGGATGGGCTAAATGGGTAAGGGGCATTAAGGAATCTACTGAAATCATTGCTTCACTATATACTAACTAATTTGGATGTAAATTTTTAAAAATAAAAAAAATAAAGTTAAAAAAAGAAAAAAGAAAAGAAACAAACACTTTTCTATAAAAAACAAATGTAAACAGCCACCCGACACCCTATCTTCCCATACTTTTCTACTAAAGACAAATATCCCTATTAAAGCCAACACTTCAAGAACATGCAGGTAATATTAGTAAACAAGGGCTCCTCTGAGATATATCTGTTGACTTGATTTGTAAAACCAGGAACAATTAGAGAATGATGAAAACAGAGCTTTCTCATGGCTTCTCCTTCCTGATCCCAAAGTAGAATGTGCCAGCATCACAGGGAACCAAGGAATCCAGAAGCCCCCAAAAGAACGTATCATCTATGATAAGTGGCTTACTCCAAGTAGTGGTTTGAGCAGCATTTGTGGTGTCAGGAGCTGCACTGGTGTCAGCATCATCGGTTGTGGATTCCTCAACAGGACCTGAAATTAGAAGGAAAATATCCAGGGGCATCTTGGTGGTTTGGTAGATTAAACGACCAATTCTTGGTTTCGGCTCTGCTTCCAGCTCAGGTCATGATCTCACAGTTCGTGAGTTGGAGTCCCACCTGAGCTCCACGCTGAGAATGCAGAGCCCTGCTTGTGATTCCCTCTCTCCCTCTCTCTCTGCCTCTCCTCCTCTCACACTTCCTATGTCTCTCTCTTTCTAAATAAATAAACTTTAAAAAAAAAAAAGAAGAAGGAAAAGATCCATCTGAGACACTTGACTCTTCCTCAGAAACAAAATTTGTCCCACTAGAGCCTGGATGTATCCTCCTCATCATGAATTCAGCTCTGCTATTGTCAACAGTTTTGTCCTGCTTTTAGCCTAGCTACCCACTTTCCTTTGGCCTCATTCTTCCTAGACCTGCCCTTGGTGGGACAAAGAATTTGGGGTTTGCCTACAAGACTATGAGACTAAGAGACAAGCAAATACTTTCTCCGAGGGGTAAGCACAAGTTACCAAATGCATATGTGTTCCTATTCACAGGGATCATGGCTCAGAGGCAAGAAGAAACCTCTAGTGGACTGACTTTCTGGTGCCCTCTATGGGCTAACTTGATCTGATTGGTGTCCACTGCAACATGAATCAGTGTGAGTAGTGGAATAAACTGTACAGGAGAAAAGAAGAAGAAGATCATGTATCAAGAAATAAAAACAGAATAAGATTATGCATCTCAGATTAGAGCAATAGTATCTCCTTTCTATGAATAACGTACAATCTCTTCTCTCAAGTTCAGGCCTCAAATTGGATTATATTTATCTCACCTGTTGTTCCAGTTGGACTCTATCTACTACGGAAGTATTTAAGAGACCACATTAGACCTACTAGGAGACATTGGTAGTATTCTGGCTATAATAAATGTGAGCAAATGCCCCATGAATCACCTCATGTTCAAAGGAAATGTGACAAGATTGATGATAATCATCACTCTCCACACCTTACACCAGAGCTCCTACAAATAGCCAGAGTCAGACCCCACATTTGTGAGTTACCCTTACCCCAACAGGTAGATAGTTCTATCTCCACACCCACACTGGAACCATAATGTCTTGGTACTTAATCACAAATGAGGATTTTTTTTAATTGGCCCTGGCTTTGCAAGTAGGACATATGGCACAGTGTATGAGGTCTGACCACACTCGATGCCCTTATTACCAAACGAAACAAATCCATCCCCAAATGAGGAGGGCAAAAAGAGAAATCTTCCCCATGTATGCATGAGCACAACACACATGGCACAGGACATACAGGACATTGTGCAAGAAGCCCAAGAAACAATAGGATATTTCTTCCACAAATTTGAGTTCCAGATCAGAGAAAAAAACCCCACATCGGCTTGGGAATAAGACATACATGCAGTTACAAAGAACAAAGTGTAAGGCCACTCTTCTACTTCACCCTACATTCCTCAATCTCTATTCCACACTCCCATGTGGTCCTATTGTCCTCATTTCTACATCACCTTTGGGAATTACACTGTGTCCTTCATCATGAAACTAATTAATCCCTCTACTACACAATGGCATACCCCTTCCATTTATGGTAATCAGGAAGACATTACATGCAACTCCCAAATTCCCAGACCACAAATTCAGACCACATTCCCTAACATTTTTTCCTAGAGAACAATTAATAATTAATTGACAATTTGTATTGGTCCTTTCCAGAGACTTTTATTGTCTAAAGACATATAAGAAATAAGCAGATTTTCTATGTTCACAATGAACTTTACAGGAGGAACATGGCTTTCCCAAGCACCTGTTTTGAGTCTCTATATTCTGTCCTCTGTGGCTTCCTGACACAAGACAGGGATGGAAAATAGTCATGACAGGAAGGACATGAAGTGCAAACACAAACTTACCAGTAGCACCCTCAGATGTATCATCGGTTGTCTCTGTAAGAGAAAAAGAAAAATAGGTACGAGTTGGACACCTGCATAGGACATAGAGGCAAGAGAGAATACAGACAATATTGCAAGCTTCCATAACTGAAGAACCTTAGGCTTCTCTACTTGTGTTGAGGGCAAAAAGATGCACAGATAACATAATACCCACAAAACTCCACAGAAGACATAATACATCACCATTTTTTGCCCTCCTGAAATAAAACTCTGATTACTTTCTTTTTTGGTGTTTTTGTTGTTGTTGATTACATGCTTGAACATATGTTAAAACACTCACAATGACGTTGAACACCAAGGTTAAAACTGAGCAAAGACCTGACTGGATTGCCAAAGCCTAAAGGGAGAGTCCACTCTATCTTGAGGGGTCAGTCAAAATAGGGATGGAACAGGGCAGTGGGGTGGAGGACGTGAGGGCCACCATTCTAAGCTCCTCCAAACCCACACCCACACAGAGCATATACGTTGATGGACTCTTGCCCCAGACCTTCTTTTCAGGTAAGAATCTTTACTTACGGCCTGAAACCAGGAAGGTGGAAACGGCCACCAGTACCAGCAACGCCAAGAGCTTCATGCTGGTGAATTGATTAGCAGGGAGCACAGTTAAGAAAGCGTGGAGCTCAGGAGAAGGTAGGACGCTGCCTTCAGCATTCCACATCCTGACCTTATATAGGCAGAGGGCACCAATCACGAACTGCCAGATCAGAATCCAGGCTAGTTACTGCCAGGCAATGTTGATGTTCACAGAAACTACTGGGGAGTCAAGAGCACAGCCAGAGGTCCTTTGGAAAGATCATTTTAGTCCCTTGATTATGACACAGGTTTCAGGTCAAGTCTTTCCCATTTTAAAATCTTCCAGAAAAGAACCCTGCTTCCAGGCTTCCTCTCACCTTATAACAGGATCAAGTGGCACCATGCTTACCAGCTTCGCTGAGAAGCCAGAGGAGCCCTACACCCAGCCTAGGGGGATTATTCACCGTGCAGTGCTCCTTTCATACACATTAAAAGTTGGACACCCACAGCTTGCTCAGCCCTAGGATTCCTATGGCAGACTGCTCTCAGATCCATCCACCTAGGTCAGGCTGTACATTCCTCCACAGATGGCCTCCCTCGTGTACATGCAGATACTGTCATCTGACACTCACGCACAGTGAAGCAACACTGATATGATCTCTCTGGATTGAAGCATTTCTTGTGGAAAAATCCAAAGTCAAAGAGAGAGACAATAGAAAATGAAACTAACGTTGGTTAATTAATGCAGCCATTAAATCAATGCACCCATCCTCTTTCTCTCAAAATAAATAAATAAACTTTAAAAAAACTTTTAAAAAATTATAATTTTTATATGAAACTATTTGAGAAATATGTAATGGGGTCATCTTAAATTTGTGACACCTTAGTACTCCTGTATTTAGAGGTCACAGCGCTCTAATCCCTGGATTTGCCCAATGATCACAAACCTGGCTTCAGTCACCAGGGTACACTCTACTTTGGAGCATATTTGAAAGGGAGACAGGCCCTGAGATGAAATTAGAAAAGCCACCTCAACCTGAAGACAGAAGCATCAAGCATCAAGAAGAGAGAAGCATCAAGAACTCAGTCCAAAACCAGATGCCTCACCCCTCAAACTACACCACTCATGAAGTGGGAATCCCTGCAGCAGTCACAGGCTGTGATGGGCAAGGACACACAACGGAGTCTCAACAAAAATAAAAGTTAACAAGGCACAGACTGATCAGGGCTCAAAAGAAGTCCCAGAGTGATGGAGACCCAGCAGGATTTGGTCTTTGGACCAAAGTTAAGATCTTGTCCTCTTCTGCTTCAAAGATCTGAGAGACACACAGAGGGCACAGAGACTCTCTAGCATTAGAAATCTGAATGTGTGGCCAAGCACCATATACAGACACAGTGTGTGTCTATTCTTTGCAATACATGTGACTCCTCTCCTTCACTATTAACATTAAATAACAACTTTCAATATCGCCTCTTCAGGGAAGTCTATGATGGCTTCGAACTAAAATACCCCTCAACTTACAGTCAGATAACATGATTCTATTCCCATTATAATATTTATCGCTACCTGGTATTTTCTTGTCACTTGATTTGCTCCTTGCTGGTTTTCTGCCTCCTCTCTCAATCAATATGACCTAAGGGAACAAAGGTTACTTTGTTCAACACTATTCCATAGGACGTCCAAGAGTGCCAAGCAGTTAGTAAGCTCCTGAAAGATGTGAGTTAAAAATGCATCAATGAATGCAATACAAATTTATAGAATAAGCATAAATCAAACAGAGAGGGCTTTTCTTCACATATCGGGGAGGGATATACTCTGAAACAAAAAGACAGTGGATGTGGATGACATCTCAGAAAGCAGAACCTGAAGCACTGCGTGTGAGTTAGGATCTAAAATAGACAAGGAAGCATTAGGCAGGTAGGAATCCCATAAGCAAAATTAACCATGACAGAATTCCAATGATGTTTAGCTACAATGTAATTAATTGTCTCCAATCTCTATAATCAAATAAATCTGGGTATACACAGAGCTATACAAAAAGCAACAGACATACATGGGAAGACACAAGCTCTGCACGCACAAGTGAAGCCTAGTCCTTACTCAGCTGTACGTCAACACCTCACAGGTAATTCCTGTAATGAAAATCCAGGGAAGTTTTTTCCAGAATTTCCATGTGTCTTTGTTCATTATTTTGCTAAGGAAAGCAAAATAGGAAAGCAGGAAAGATCTCTGCTAAGCACAAATTCTCCCCATCATTGGCTTTTCCTAATTAACGAAAGGAACTTCCACATCTTCACCTATTTCTCCTTCATTTCCCATTCCAGGATCAGCCCACTTACTGCTTTATATCAGTTCCTACCATTGTCCCATGGTCCTCCCTCCAAGTCTGAATGGCTGCTCCATGCTGGAAAGCCCAGGGCAAACCACTGAATGTTCCCCTATGAAGCTAAATTCAGAGGAGTGATAGTTCCCAAATTTATCACTTTATTTTTATCTCTTTCTACGAATACTTCGTTGTTACTCCTGTCTTTGTTTTTTCCATTCTTTCCATTTTCAAAGCTCTTCTTGTTTCTGCCTACATGTCTTTCTAATCCGAATGTCTTTGTCATTTTCCATTAATCTGTAGCTCCCACCATCCTTTGACCCCATCCAAACAACACTACCAAATTGCCTTTATTTTACCTAAATGTTACTGGGTGTGCAACATTCTAGGCATCCAAAAGGCCCTTCCTGGAAATCTGAAAACAATGACACTTTGAAAGTGTCCTGCCAGACATCGTAGGGAAACACCTTTCTGAATACCTTTGGCAGGTACACCCTGGAATACTTTAAAGGAGGCTCCTTTTTCCTCCTCCTCACCCCCCTCCTCCCTCACACTTAATCCTTCAATCTTTGATCATCCCACTACCCTCCTGGACATCTGACAACACTCATATTTATACAGTTTCCCTCCTGACATTTTAGGGCAGTATCATTCTGAATATGGTGCCAAGCTAACCTTGAGATAGCATCAAGCCTCCTTCTTCCTGCTTACCTGCCTCTATCCTAACATTTACATTCTCAGGTTTGGATCATCACACTTGCCGGATGTTGACTTTGCACACTGGCAACTATTTATTCAAAAACCTGCTCAAATTTCCTGGACATTGTGATAACTTTTATCTGGCATTACTGTTCATCTATATGGCACCATTGTCTAAAAAACAATTTACAGACTTTGATGAGAAGGACAGATTCTGGGGTGATATCAGTTCATACCAAAACGTCAAGAACACCTCTTTCAACCAGAAGTGTGTACTGCATCAAGCCTTCACTCTAGATTAATTTCATTGTGTTAGTAGACAACATATAGGCTTTGGAAATCCACATCAATTAGCCCCATAAGAGTTCGTCATTTACCTTGAGTAGGACACAATATCCCCTACAGAGTACTCTGGTGGGGAATGGATAACCTGTATCTAATTATGAGGAATGATTTTTTAAAACCCTAGTGAGGAAATTCGTACTTTTTCAAAAATGGGAAGAGAGATATATTCTTCCATTTACCAATGTCAAAAAAGATGTTTTTAAGTCAGAAAAAAATGCCCATAATAAAGGAGACTAAGATAACAAGTAATTAAATGAAATAGACAATCTTAGACTGGATCATTTACTAGAGGAATACAATTTTATAAGGGATCTTATTGGGTCAAATACTGATATTGGGTGATTTTTTTAGAAGAGATAAAAGTATTGCATCACTGTTGAAGTTACTAAAATGAAAAACTATATTATGGTTCTGTAGAAATATACACTAAAGTAATTAGTGGTAAAGAAATATACCTAATGAACTGTTGAATCTAAGAAGGCAAACCATCTCCACTGTGTTACCTACCCTAAGGCCACCATACAGAGGAGTCCAAGATGGAAGAAAAGTTCATGTTTAGGCATTATGGGCCACAGTCTTACTGAAACCAATTCTTAATATCATCCTGGACGAAGTAAAAGAAGTAAGTTTGGAAGAGCCTCCAAATGATTTCAGCCTTCAGCCACTCACATGGCCCAAGTGTAGCCCCAGAGTGAGAAAGAGAGAAGACATCTCTTTGGTGCCTTAGCCAAACGCCTCCCCTGCAGATTCTTTAAGCATACAGAAGTGGTTGTTGTATAATATCCTAGTATTTTGCAGTGGTTTTTTTAATGCAGAAATAAATGATCAAATATGGATTTTGGTACCAGAAATGGGATGCTGTGATACCAAAAACCTAAAACGTATGACACTGGGTTTCAGAAAACATAAGAGATTGGAGGTGATAGTTAGCCAACACCTGACAAGACTACAGCTTGTTGGTGAGGACTTAAAGGAAACTGAGGAAAATGTTATTAAAAACTGGAGCACAGGGAAACTTTGCTATATAGTAGCATAAAAGTGAAGAAACCCTTGCCTGGAGTAATGAAGAATATAAAAATGTACTTAATGAAGTGTTAAATCTGTCTAAGGAGATTTCCAGGCAAAATGTCAAAAGTATCATCAGTATTTATTTTAGTTGCACATCGTAAAGTATAAATGGAAATGAGACTAAAAAGGATGCTTTGCTAAGACCTCAGAAACCCAGCATGTCATAGTACCCCTGTGCTAGATCCTTAGGCTCTTGAAGGATTTCATAATCTGTGTCACAAATTCTTCCCATTAAACTAGAAGACATCTAGGAATCATAAGGGCATTGTTGCTCAAAGACCACTCAGGGGGCCAGACAGAGAAAGGTCTATCTAGAAGAAACAATGGATTTGAACTGTCATTTATCTATTAGATAAACTGAATTCACAATATTCCATCTTCCCAATAAGAAAACTGCAGTCCCATATGGCTTCACCAAGACTTTCTACCTAAAATTTAGGGAAGAAAACACCAACCTTCGCCAGATTCTTCCCAAATGTTGAAAACCCAACGAAAGATTTTTAATCTAATTTTATGATGCCAGGATATCCCTGATGCCAAAGCCTGAAAAAGGTATTACAAGAAAGAAAAATTACAAAATCATCATTATCATGACCATAAAAGCAAAAGTTATAAACAATAAATTACCAAAGCAATTCCTGTAACAAATACAAAACATTAGACATCACAAAATTCAGTTTTTTCTGGGAGTACAAGACAAGGTTAATATTTGGAAATCAATCAAGGGAGCCTGGGTGGCTCAGTGGGTTGAGCATCCGATTTTGGCTCAGGTCATGATCTCACGGTTCATGGGTTTGAGCCTATCATCAGGTTCTGTGCTGACAGCTCAGAGCCTGGAGCCTGCTTCAGATTCTGTGTCTCCTTCTCTCTCTGCCCCTCCCACCTCTCAAAAATAAAGAAACGTTTTTTAAAAAGCAACCTTTGAAAATCAATGTCAGTACATTAGTTTCCATTTTCTTCGCAACAAATTACCATAAACAGTGACTTAAAACAACACAGACGTATTATCTTACGGTTTGGGATTTCAGAAGTCCAAAATGGGTCTCTGGAAACTATTATCAACATATGGACAGGGTTTCATTCCTTCTGAAAGTTCTGAAAGAGGAAAATCAATTTCCTGTTCTTTTTCAATTTCTAGAGTCTGCTCACATTTTTTGGATTGGCCTCTTTCCATCCTCAAAGCCAGTGATGGCTGCTCAAGTCTTTCTCATTTTGCCTCCCTCTTCCACATCTGAAGGACCCTTGTTGATTAAATCAGGCCATGCCAGATAATTCAGTATAATCTACCTATTTTTATATTCATACGATTAGTAACTTTAATTCCATCTGCAACACGACTCCCACTTTTCCATGTAATCTAACAAATACAGGTTGAAGGGATTAAGATATGGATATCTTTGTGCACCCATTATTCTGTCTACCAAAGTTAGTCATCCAGTTAGCAGAACAAAGGAAGAAAATCATGATTATCTCAACTGATGCAAAAAAAAAAAATCTGATAAAATTCAATACCCATTTGTTATTTTTTTCATTTTTAGACGAATATAAATAGAATCGCCTTAAACAATAGCAAATGTCATACTAAAGGTTCAGATATTGAAAGTGTTCTCCAGAGATAAAGATGGACACTACTTATATTATTATTGTGCTAGAGGTCCAATGAGGGCAATCACACAAGAAATGAAATGAAGAGGAAAGGAATAGAAAGAAAATATGAAACTGTAGTTAATTATTTACCAGTGGCATAATTCTGTTCAGAGAACATCTAAAAGAAACTACAGAAAAACAATGAGAACTAAAAATCAACTCTAGCCATTTCCAAGGTATCAGGTGAATATATAAAAATCAATTGCAGGAGCGCCTGGGTGGCTCAGTCGGTTGAGCGTCTGACTTCAGCTCAGGTCATGATCTCATGGTTTGTGAGTTCAAGCCCTGCATCGGGATCTGTGCTGACAGCTGGGAGCCCGGAGCCTGCTTCAGATTCTGTGTCTCCCTCTGTCTCTCTGCCCCTCCTTCGCTCATGCTCTCTCTCTCTCTAAAAAAAAAAAAAATAGAAATTTTAAAAATTTAATAAATAAAAATCAATTGCATTTATCTGTACCAGCAAAAATCCATTTGAATTTTTAATGATACCATTCATAAGAGTTATAAAACCAAGAAATTAGTAATACATCTTTTAAAACATGTTCAAAACGTCTATGCAGTAACTATGAAAAATAAAGTGAAGGATAAATCATATAAATGAACAGGAAAATTGAGTCTTATGAAGACACTGTTTTCTCTAAATTAATTCATACATACAAAGCACTAATTTTGAGTGGCCATTCCAAGCCTGGAAATGCAAAACAAATTAACAGAGACTCTTCCAAAAGCTAAACAATTAGAGTGATATTTCTAAGTATTATCCCTTTTTTCCCTTTGCTCTTTCTTTCTGGGAATATGGCACTATTTCTTTCTCCTTTATCATTTTTTCTTTCCCTGTTCTAAGTTTGAAAGTCTTTCTATTCCTATTGTACATGTCTCTGAATATTTTTTTCATATTCAGTTTATCCATATATCTCATTATCCCTTACCTCACTTCAAACTCTGCTAACACTGTTTTACTTACACAATTTTTACAGTTAGCACAGTATTTAGAGAATTCTAAAACTTCTTTCTTGGAAGCTTAGAGACAACTATACTCTAAGACTCTCTCTGACTCCGTGTCAACATCCATCTGATACAGTGCCATGCTTACCCTGGAAAGGTTAAGAAGTGTTCTTCTTAGAACTCCTTCCACCCTCACACATACCCTGTCAGTGTTGATCAGCTTATTTGCTGAAGGATCCAGATTGTTTACTCGGTACCCTGCCAACCTTTTTTCGAAAACTGTCTTAGGTGCCGTCAGATATTCTGGTACCTTTTCTCTGTCATCACTGTTGATCCTGAGCAAAAGATTCGAGCAAGAATTGAAGACTTCACTAAGAGAAACAATTTTTGAGGCAACAGTAATTCCTAATTATTTGGGAAGCTCCAGAACATGTCTGTGCAGCTGAAAGTCTATGCTGCATCAAGTTCCAAGTAAACAATAATTTCATGTTAATTCTAGGGAACAGATGTATATATTAGAAAACCACATAAATCAGCCTCATCAGAGTTAACCCTCTTCCCTGAGTAGGACTAGGAATTCAATTATGGCTGGGAATATACGAAAACAGTATATCCTTGATACCAAAAGTCAAATCCTGAAAAGATAATAGAATAAATTGCCAGATAATCATTATCATGACCATAAGTGCAAAAGTCCTAAATAATGTATTGCCAACTTAAATCCAGTTATAAATAAATAAACACAAGGCAGCCAAATAGCATTTATTTTAGGAATACAATATAGAATTAATGCTAGAAAATCATCAGTGTTGAGCATCTGATTAGCAGAGCAAAGGAAGAAAACCATATGATTATCTCAAGCGATGCAAAAAAATTGGTAAAATTATCACTCATAGATATCATAGAATTTATAAAGCATACCAGAAACTCTACCAATATTTTATCAGAGTCAAAAAACAAATGTATCATTGTACTGGACACAGGACACTATAGAAAAATCAATTGTATTTGTACTAACAACAAAAAACTAGAAATGCTTACATGATACCCTTTATAATACCATTAATAAAATCAAATACTCAAACAACCATTTAAGGGAAGATGTTCAAGACTTCTGCACAGAAATTACTACAAACAATTGGAAGGGAGAAACCATGTAAACAGCCTAGAAGATACAATTTTGTAAGATGCGAGTTCTTTCCAAGTTGGTGGATAGATTTGAGGAAATTCCAGTCAGAATTTGGGCAGTTTACTTTTGGAAACGAATAGCTTCTACGATTTCAAAGTTGTGGTAGGGGGAATTTCTATAATGGTCTCCAAAGATGTATGACCCTAATCACAAGAAGCTGTAATAATTTGATGAGCTTTCAACCTTCAAATAATGAGTGGCTCATATCATGATGTCAAGTAGAATAAATTATCTACTTCTGTGACACCGTCTTATAATTTGTTTTCATTTTTTTATAATCCCAATAAGTAAAGAAATTTGTGCTACAAATTCATGTGTAAATTACAGAATACATACTGTAGCCGGTACTTTATTTAAAGGAATGTAAACCAATGTGAGTCTCTCAAAAAGTGGGAAATCAGAGCTCCTGTCTTTCTAACAAAACGCAAACAAACAAAAAAGCCTAATTATGGGCCAAAGAAATACAGTGAAAGCATAATATATCATTAAGAAAGTGGGAGTGCCTGGGTGGCTCAGTGGGTTGAGCGTCCAACTTTTTTTTGGCTCAGGTCTTAATCTCATGGTTTGAGATTAAGTGGGATTGAGCCCCAGGTTGGGCTCTGCACTGAAAGTGCAAAGCCTGCTTGGGATTACTGTAAATTTCCAAAATGCAGCCCTTACAGCTATTTTTCTCTGTGCTTCCTCCTTTCCACATATGGAAAAATATAGAGTTTTCTAAGGGAAAAAAACCCTCCAATTCTCACGTTGCTAGTGATTATTCTTTATGTGAAAGGAGATAAACCATTGTCAATAGAAGATGTGAAGGAATGGGGAGACAATCCGTGGGTTGAAACAGGGCTCATTACAGCTAAGTATGGGCCAATCTGTGCATGTGAATGATTCAAGATTAGTTACGTGCCCAGATATAAACCACTATTATGAGCTTTTCCTCCCAAAACCTATAAAAGAAAAAAATGATAGTGTTTGTAGAGTTTCATACCAGGTTGCAGAAGGTGACTTCCTATTTGATATCTGTAACAGGAGAAAAACTGTCTAATGCAAAGGGATCTGGGGTTTAAGATCTGCAGTATAGCACTGGTGTGAGGATCAACTCCTGTTCAAAAGAATTTGGTTCAAACAACTCTGGATGGAAGCCTACAATGGATAAAATTTACAATGGGAAGTATCCCAGGATATATTAAGTTTTCCTAAAATACACAACAAAGTAAGACAGCCTTTCTCTGAAAAAAGGAAAGGAATCAATTTTTCAGCTCTAGTCTGTTTGATTCAAATTTTTCTTCAATTTATTTATTTTTGAGAGAGACAGAGACAGCATGAGTGAGGGAGGGGCAGAGAGAGAGAATCCCAAATAGGATCCACACTGTCAGCTCAGAGCTCGATGTCAGGCTCGAACTCGTGAAACCACGAGATCATGACCTGAGCCGAAATCAAGTGTTGGACGTTTAACCGACTGAGCCACTCAGGCGCTCCTTGATTCAAATTTTTGATGAAGATGTCAAGATACTAACCCAGACACTGAAACAATATAAAGTAATGTTGGCAAATTTCTTCATGGTTATAGGTCCCTTTATTTCAAATACAGTCTTTTACTCTTGGTCTTAGTCCCTTTGGACTGCTGTCACAAAATACCATATACTTGGTAGCTTGTAAACAACAAATATTTATTTTTCACAGTTCTGGGGGCTGGAAGTTCAGGATCGGTTTGCTGGCATTGTTGTGGAGGGGTCCCTCTGTTCTGGTGAAGGCCCTCTTCTGGGTTGCAGACCACTGACTTCTTGCTGTGTTCTTACATGGTAGATAGAATGAGATATCTCTCTGGGGCTCCTTCAATAAGAGTACCAATTCCATTTATGAGGGCTCTGCCCCATTGGCCTACCATCTCCCAAATACCCAACCCCCTAATACCAACCATCACCTACAGTTATGTTTCAATGTATAACTTTTGAGGAAGACACAAACATTTAGACCATAGCACCCTACTCCCATGTGTCTGTTTACTCACTGTCTCTACTTACATTTCCTCAGTTAAAAAATTTACCATTTCCTAAAGTTGGAGTAAGATTAAAATAAAATTTTATATGTGAAATGATCAAATGAGATGTATAGTTTATGTAGACATTTCCAGAAATCTATGCTCATAAATCTATAGATTCTGGGTTTATTTAATATAAGAAATCATAAATCTGGATATCCAGCTATTCTAGTACATATCTATGATATATTTATTCTCTAGATAAGATCTCTGCCTCTTAGTAATAAATATTAGTCTACTTACCCAACATCCAGCTGATGTGCTGCCACTGGGTTACCTGTATTCTTTCACTTCCTTGATGATTTGTCTTCAAGAAAAGAATTGGCGAGCTTGGTTAAATTGATTAAATAATTAAGCAGCCAGAAAGAAAAGTACAGTTTCTGCTAGAATTGAACTACCTATTGCCTGGGACCCTAGTGTCTTTTGTGCTTTTAGCACTTATTTCGAAACCCAGATTATACTACTTAATGCATACATTCCATATTTATTACTTTAAATTTCCAAAGTGCACCCTAACTCCGGTTGCTTCCTGAGATTTCCCCGTTCTTATCTGGATAGATTTGTTTAGTAGCTTTATCGAGATCCAGTTTATATGCCATAAAATTCACCTGTTTTAAATGTATAGTTTGGTGGGTTTTAGTATGTATTGCACAATCCCATATATATGAAGTGTCCAGAAAAAGCAAATCTGGATACTTTCATAAGAAGAAACAAACTCCAATTCTGATGTAGCTTTACTTGAATGCAGAGAAATTTGTTGAGGATAGCATGAAGACAAGGTAGGCAATCAGGTGAGATGAAATGCAGGCACACTGTAGCCCAACAAAGCCAAAAATGGAAAGGCCAATGTAGGCATATGATGAGCCAGCTCCATGACTTCACCAAATGTCCTCCAGTAGTGAGGCAATCCATGCAAATAAATCTATAACAACACATTAAAAAAAACAGAAAGGAAGAAATATATTGCTGACATTTCCATAGAAACTTACAGAATGTGACTTCCTTATTTGCTGCCAGGGGAACAACAAAGCCCAATGCCACTGAATTCACAGGAGTCCAGGGAATCTAGGGTTAGAACATCCAGAGCCTAGTACTTGTGAGAGGATCAACTCCTCTCCAAGAGACTATGGTCTATGCAACCCATACCAGAAGCCTAAGATGAACTGCAAGCTTTAGAATGAGAAAGATCCCAAGGTTTATTAAACAGCTTTCCAAACTTATGCAAAACAAGATAGTCATCCTGGGGTGGGAGACGGGAGGCCATATTTTCAGCCACTTGCAGTCCAACACAGATTCTTGGTCATGTGCCACACCGTGCCCAGACATTGAAATAATATAAAGCAATATTGGTAAAAGCCTCCTTGGGACTTAGATTTCATAAATACAAAACAGCTCTTGGCCATGTACACCATGTGCCTAAAAGAGTGGCACACTATCTCTGTACATCCATTTCTACTTCTTCAAAATTTACTACTTCAAAAAGCTGGTGTGAGACTAAACTTATATTTAAGATGTGACATATTTAACAATGGGGCCTGGAAAAGTCTCGGAAAAACAAATGATTGTAATAAATCAATACGGTGGTAGGAAGGAAGGGATAAGCTAACCTGGAAGGCAGACCTGAACCCTGACCCTCAAGAGAATTAAATATTCCCAATATACCCTCAAAGACCCTCAAAATTATCTGGTCTGTATTTTATTTCCCCGGGGAATACCCACTATAAAGTCATTTTCCATTTCTTAGGAAATTCTCCCACAAACAGGTACATGGCCAATGGTGGCACTTTTTTGGTATTTGCAGTATAACTTTTATTAAAGATGAAATTAGACATATTCCATGCTAAAGGAAAAAGTAAGTCAAGGTGGTAGCCAAGAAGTATATATTTTGTGGTCCCTCTACTTTCTTTCTTGTTGCTATGGAAAACCAAACTAAAGTAGGAAGCAAAAAGAACACAGGGCATTTCTCATGCCTTCTCCCACCTCGACATAGTCCACTGTGAAAGTGTGGGACCTAGATGATCCAGCAGCCACATAAAGACATCCCTTCAAAATGTGGACAATGGCTGGTATAGCAGTGTGAGCATCAGCCACAGTGGAGACATCTACAGGGACTGCTGAAATTAATATGAAAACTCACAATGAAAGTTTCGATACTTTTCATGGAAGAGAAATTAGTCTCACACTTTCTTGAGCTTACATCCCCCAAAATGTATTCCTTTCTCTTTTATCTCTGCCATCATAGCTGCAACCTGACCCACCAACATCCTTACATGATACATTTTATGAAGAATATATCATAGTGACATCAGAGAGGAATTCTAGAGGGGAAGAAAACAAAGATTAAAAACCTATGTCTTAGATAAAGTATTAGTACCTCCTTCCTAGTGCCATATATATCACAAGCTTCTAAAACAATTGAGATCCCTTGGGGTGTCTGGGTGGCTGAGTCAGTTGAGCTTCTGACTCTTGATTTCAGCTCAAGTCATGATCCCAAGGTCATGGGTAGAGCCCCACATCTGACTCTGCACTGAGCATGAAGTCTACTTAAGATTCTCTCTCTCCTTCTCCCCCCTGACACTTTCCCCTGCTCATGCTTTCTCTCTCTCTCTTAAACAAAATAAATATAAAATGAAGTGTTTAATTAAAAAGTACTAGTAAAGGGGCGCCTGGGTGGCTCCGTCGGTTGAGCGTCCGACTTCGGCTCAGGTCACGATCTCACGGTCCGTGAGTTCGAGCCCCGCATCGGGCTCTGGGCTGATGGCTCAGAGCCTGGAGCCTGCTTCCCATTCTGTGTCTCCCTCTCTCTCTGACCCTCCCCGTTCATGCTCTGTCTCTCTCTGTCTCAAAAATAAATAAACGTTAAAAAAAAAATTTTTTTTAAATAAATAAATAAAAAGTACTAGTAAAATAAAAATTAAACAATTGAGATCCCTTTTATTACTCAGAAATGTGAGAATAACGGAGAGGTGGAGAAATTGGTACTATTCTTGCAGTTAAACAAATGAGTAAATGAGCAAAAATCACCCACCAATTACCCCATGTTAATGGAACCATGTCATAGGTTGATGACAATTATCAAGCCCTACGTCGTATACTGGGAACCTACACACACACGTCACAGAAGATGCATATACAGAAAAAATTTGAGAGGTCCCCAGAATCTCTAACCAGGCTGATTCGTGAGGGGCTTCTATACCAGGCCAGAACATGAAGAATGGGAGAGGAGGCTGTGTTTTCTAATGTTCAGATACCAACACATAGAGTCAAGAAAAATAAAAAGCTGTGTAATTGGGTACATGGGACCTCTCTGTACTATTTTTGCAACTTCTTCAGAGTCTATAAATACTTCAAATAAAAAAATTTACAAAGAGGAGTACCTGGCTGGCTCAGTGGGAGGAGCATGCAATTCTTGATCTTGGGGTTGTGAGCTTGAGTCCAATGTTGGGTGTAGAGATTATTAAAAGACAGTAATAATAAATAAACTTTAAAAAGTTATTAAAAAATAAAGCAAATCCACATAAGGTGGAAGATATTACAGCAAATATAACAAAAAAGGAGTTTTATCCAGAATATGTAAATAATTCTTGTAAATCAATAGAAAAAAAATACAACTAGATAGAAAATGAAAAATACGTTTGAGCAGATAAATCACACCAAAAAAAAAAAAAAAAGATATACAAATGGCCTGCAGACTTATAGAATGGTGTTCAACCTCATTAATAATCAGGAAAATCACCTTCCCAGAATAATGAAACAAATGAGTGGATCAAATCTCAAAAACGAGGATGCACTCAACTTTGACCAGAAAGAATGATGTACACCCTTAGACACCAGGGTGCTGTGAAGAAGGCAGAAGGTGAGAAAATGGAGAAGTAGAAGCCAAGAGAAGCAACGTCCAGAAGTTCATGTGAAACACATTTCATGAGAATCTACAGGTGACTCACTGGAAAAAAAAAAAAATGCTTTGCAGTACCAATTGGTTCCTCAATATGTCTGTTATTAGATATAAAAAAAAAAGGATTGTCTCTGGAAATGAACAAGATAGTCTCACATACATTCCATGCTATAATGGATTAAAGCTGTGTGAAACTAAAGACTTTATTCATCTTACGATTCTTCCTATAATTTACTTTAAAATTTTTCTTTTACCTTACCTGTAAATAAGAAAGTTATTTTAAAGGCTGAAGGTGTAAAATTACAAAGTTGTAGAGATGGAGAACAAATTAGTGATTGCCAAGACTTAGGGATGGTGGGACAAGAGGAGAGGACGTGACTACAAAGGGGTGGACAGAGATCTTTGTGGTGAGGGAAACGTACGGCAGCTTGATTGTGGTGATTGTTAATGGGTCTGACTCCTGTGATAAAATGTCAAAGAGCTCTACACACACCTTGTGTCAGTGGCAATATCCTAGTTTTGATACTGTACTATTATTCTGTAAGATGCAACCATTGGAAGAAAGTGGATAAAAGGTATATGAGATCTCTGTACTATCTCTGCAACTTCCTGTGAATCTATAATCATTTTTAATACTGATGTGAAAGGGCACATGCACCCTGCTGCTTATAGCAGCACTATCCATAACAGCCAAATTATGGAAAGAGCCCAAATGTCCATCGACTGATGAATGGATAAAGAAGATGTTGCAAATGTGTGCAATGGAATATTACTCAACCATCGGAAAGAATGAAATCTTGCCATGGGCAACAATGTGGCTGGAGCCAGAGTGCATTACACTAAGTGAAATAAATCAGTCAGAGGAAGACAAATACCATATGATTTCACTCATATGTGGAATTTGAGAAGCAAAACACATGGGGGCACCTGGGTGGCTCAGTCGGTTAAGCGTCTGACTTCAGCTCAGATCATAATCTCGTGGTTTGTGGTTTTGAGCCCCACATATGCTCTGTGCTGCCCCTCTCTCTCTGCCCGCTCCAGCTTATTCCCTCTCTCCCTCTCTCTCTCTTTCAAAAAACAAATAAAGAAACATTTTTTTAAAAGGAAAGAAACAAAACAGATGAACATAGGGGAAGGGGAAAGAAAGAGAGGGAAGCAACTATAGAGAACAAACTGAGAGTTGCTGGAGGGGAGGTGGGTGGGGAATGGGCCATTAAGGACGGCCCTCACGTGGAGCATTGGGTGCTGTATGTAAGCAATGGATCGCTAAATCCTACTCCTGAAACCAACATTACACTATACTAGAATTTAAATAAAAACCTAAGACAAGCAAAAGATGTATAAATTCAATGCTGTCTAAACACAATTAGCACAACTATATAAAATGAGCATGTGTGGTAAAGACAGAGAGGTAAGAGTAAGTTTCACTAGGAGGGTACTTACTGCAAAGTGGCCTCACCTAAGGCTAATTTCAGCAGAAAAGTTACTTCATACAAACTGTCAGCTGGCTCCTAAGAACCCCTAGAAGGGCTGGAGATGAAGTTTCAGCTTCCAAGGGTGTTGCAGATACCTCTGCCACAGGACTGGTCTGGTGAGAAAACCAGACCAGCCACCAGTGCTGCCAAGCACTAACGGCTAAGAATTTGATTAACAACAGTGATTGCTACCTGTAAAGTGTGCTTCTGTGTCAGAATTCCGCCCTGCAACCATTGTTCCCCTTATACCCCAGAAGCTTCTGCAGGTAATGTGTGCCAGCAGAACGAAGGCTGTTTTCACCTACGGCTCCTCTTCGACCAAGGTCTTGTGAACGTTCCTAAGATTAGCAGAATTCCTTCATGAGCCTGCCTCCTGGAAGCTGAGAAAGTTCCCAACTTCACTGTTGGGAAAATAATACACAGAATCCTGTTTAATTTTCATTACAAAAAAAAAACCAGTCAACATTATAATCCAGATTTTAAAAATAGAGAAATTTTAGTTATGTCTATTTTATAAATTATAGGTTGTTTGGGGGTTTTAGGAAAGAATACGTGGAAATTAAGAATCTAGAACTTTGTTTCGTTTAAGCTCTCTGTAACTGTATACCTCTGAGGTAGGGTACCCCAGCTTGAAGATTAGTAGTTTACCCCACTTCATTTGGGAGACAAATACAAGGTCATCAAGTTCAATTAATCTCATTTAATAACTTTAATAACTGACTGTTAAGTAGCATATTGTAAACATGTGCAACAAAGAATAAGAACAATGTAATGGATCCCTTCCAGAAGAGATAGTGAAAAAGCTATACAAGGACACATAGAGGTGGGAACATTGAGTGATGGCATCAGGGCTTAAAGCTGAGAGGAAGACGGGTCGTTACTGAAATCTTCAGGTCATCCACAAATGACATTTTTCATTCTTCCTTTCCAACTATTTAAATTTTTATTTCCATTTCTCATGTTACGAACCTAGGACAATGTTGAAAAAAAGTAGTGACGGCAGCATTCTCTGAATTATTCCTGATTTTAAGACCTTTAGTAATTCATAATTCAAAATTGACTATGTTTGCCGTAGGTTATTTGTAAATGACCTTAAGTTTTTCATGTTAAGCAAGTTCCCTTTTACTCCTCATTGCTAAAGACTTTTAATAAGTATACGTATTTTCTCTGTTAATCTTTTAATATATTGAATTACATTAATAGACTCCTTATCTTGAAATACCTTCCTTTTGAGGAGGAAATCCAGTTTTCTGGAGGTAGTGTCTTGTCTGTAAAGATAGTTAGATTCAGACTGCTGCTAATTTGATTATGAGTTTTGCAACTCTTCATTAACAAGATCCACCTGTAATGTACAATTCTGCTATCATCCTCAAGAAGTGTTAGCATCAAAGTTATACTATTTTCAGGGGTACCTGGGTGGCTCCGTTGGTTAAGCGTCCAACTACTGATGTTGGCTTAGGTCATGATCTCCCAGTTCAGAGATCAAGCCCCACATCAGGCTCTGCACTGGAATGGGGCCTGCTTAAGATTCTCTCTCTTTCTCTCTCTCTCTCCCCCTCCCTCCCTCTACCTGTGCCCCTCCCCACTGCACACTGTCTCTCTAAATAAATAAATACAGTTTTGCTATTTTCATAAAATAAGTAGAATAATATTCCTTCTTTTGTATCTTCAGAAGGAGTTGTTTGTGTTTAGAATTATTTATTCTTTAAATTGTTACTATGACTCATGCACACAATGAGGGCTGGGAACTCTAGTCCACCATCTTGCTGACAACACTCCCCTAATTTATATTTCTTGAAAGAAAGGCACATTTTATCTGTTTTCAAATTCATTATCATGACATTCTCCTTACCTTTTTAGTCCCTGAAGCATCTGTAGTTACATTCCTTTTTTATACTGCTAATAGAGTTAATTTGTGCATAAGCAACATCCATCCTCAGAAGGAATCTCACTTCTGATTCCTTCTGGTTGTTCTAAATCCACAGCACAGCAGAGTGTCCAGAGTCATGGGGTGTGCCATAATCGTTGATTTTATAGATCCCTAGCAAACTTTAAATATTCATTTATTACTTATTAACCAAACAATAATGCCTATGCGTCCCTTGGGCATTTATCCACATTTAAAGCATTCAATCCCAAAATATCAGAAAATTCAATATATTAAACAGTAAACATCAAGATAAATGCACCCAGTGTAACTCCAAATAGGAAAAATTCTGGGAAGTCTCCCACATTCTTGGGGGAGGACACAGAAATCATGTAGCAGTTTCTGAGCATTATTATAGCTCAGTGGCAAGTGTTCAAATGGTGAACGTGGCTTAAGCACTCACACGTGCCACAGCTCAATACTATAAGCAGATCCCAATTTGTCAGACCCAGGTTAACTTACTTTATTCCGTAGTTTCACAGTATCATTTGGGAGCTGTACCAAACCCCTCTCTGTCTCTGCTGACAACTGAGAGATCACTTTTTTGGGGAGAGAGGCAGTGCTGCCCTAACCGGTCAGATTTCAGAATGCGTGTGAAGATGTGTGTGTGTGAATAAAGGCAAAGGGGAAATCTTCACTTTGGCTATTTCTCCTCTAAGATTTGTAGGGGTAAACTCTTCATCCTATTTGAATAGTAACTTCCAAGAGTCAATATTGGGCCCAGCAAGGGGAGTACCATTCATACCAAAGTCAAAGAAGATGCCCATGAGGTCCATGTGCTTAGGGCCCAGTGCCCCTGAACATTTTACTCACGAGCATCCTGAAAGGATTTGGGAAAACTACATACCCTCTGACACATTTTTTAATTGACATTTAAGACTGTCAAAGAAATTCTTTCGATTTAAACAGTTGCAAGTGATATAACTTGCAACACATTATAATATTGACATTTAAAATAAAACTGGTACTTTACTCTTTCAGATGTATCCCACGGAACCTAAATGCCAAAGCAATTTGACACCCACTATCAAACATTTTTAAAAGACAAGATATTTTTAAAGTTAAAAATTCTACAAAATTCTTGTTTCTCTTTAACCTGTATTTTTATTTCACTCCCCCACAGAACTTTATCCTCATGCATGTTTATGCTTGGAAGCATTTAATACATTATTTTAGTGTATTATTCTGCAACAAAAATGTATATGTTACTTAAATATTTTTGTAACCACAAAATTCCAAGTGATAAAAATTTATTTCTGAGTTTATGTATTAATACAATTTTTATGTGTTTCCTCTTGATTGTAATAGACGTAAATTATAAATCTGGACAAATATCAAAGATAAAAATATATGATTGGGAATGCATTTTATAGATGAATTTTTTCCAATTCATGCATTCAAGGATAAATATTACTTAAAGCTACTAGATTCAGCATCATTACTATGTCTATTTTCATTTTTATTTGTGAGGGCTGACAAAATATTTTCAAGTTAGTTGGTAAAAAAAAAAAAAGAATGAACGTCTTCTGTTTTAACAATGTTACTCAATCTTCAAATTCCTTTTAAGTTACATGTTTTAAAAAATCACATAACCACCTATTACCAAAAAATTAATAATCAGAGGACAAAAATTCAGAAACCACTTGATTTGCAAAATAACTGGCCATTCAGTTAGAGTCACTCACTCTCTTAGTGCTGGCACCGTGTTTCAAGTATCCCTGATGTCCTAGAGGTTTTGACACACTTTTCCATCACAGGCTGGTCTTAGGCAAATAAAATTTAGGAAAGAATATGTGGAATATGAGAATCTGAACATTTATTTCCTTTAAGCTATGTGTAACTGTGTACCTCTAAAGTAGGGTAGCCCAGCTTGAAGATTACTAGTCTACCCCAATTTGCTAGATATCTCTACTTTAGGAGACAAATATAAGATAATAATCAGCTCAATCGCTCTCATTCAATACCTGTTTAATAACCACGGCCAAGTAGCAGGTTGTAAAAACGTGCAACAAAGAATATGAAGGATATAGTCTGGGCCCTTCCAGAGTGAGGTAGTTAAAAAGCTATACAAGGACAAATAGAGGTGGGAACATTGAGTGACACTGTCAGGGCTTAAGGCTGAGAGGAAGACTCTGGACAAGTACTGACGTCACCAAGGCTTCAATGTGTGACAGCAAAGCCTGAAAATGAGGAAGGTGAAAGCTGGTGTAGGCAAATGAAGAAGATCCTTGGCTTGAACATGAAATGTGGGATTATGAACAGCCTCCCCCGGGCAGGGCCACAGAACAGAAGCATCCATGAGAGACAGCCAAGTCTTAGTTAAGACAGGAGAGTAGGGGGGAAGAGGTGTTAAATGTGGAGGAATTTCTTCACCACGTACCCAAACTCTTTTTGCTTTCACTTCCCTTGACTCTTTTGCAAATTTATCTCCATTTTTTTTTTAAGATGTACCATAGTTTATTTATCCATTCACCTACTGTCTCAGTCAGCTTGTGGTGCTACAACAAAATACCATGATTGGGGGCCTTAGGCAAAAAATACTTATCTCTCACAGTTCTGGAGGCTGAGAAGTCCAAAATCAAGGAGTCAGTGGATCTGGTTCTTTGTACATTGTGAGGGTCTGCTTCTTGACTTGCAGATGCCCATCTTTGGCTGTATCCTCACATGATGGAAAAAGAAAGCTCTGGTGTCTCTTCCTCTTATAAGAATACTAATTCCATTATGGGGACTCGACTCTCATGACTTCGTCAAAACCTAATTACCTCCCAAAGACCCCCACCTCCTAAAACCAACATATGGGTGGTTGGGGCTTCAACATACTAATTTGGGAGCATAAACACTCCGTCCATAACACCTACTGAAGGATATCTTGGTTGCTTCTAGGTTTTGATAAAGTTAGGTTATGTATAAAGTTGCCATAAACATCAGTGAGCAAGTTTCTTCAGGGACATAGGTTTTCAACTCATTTGGATAAATACCAAGGAGTATGATTGCTGGATCATATGGTAATATGGTAAGAGCATGTTTCATTTTGTAAGAAATTGCCATGTTGCCTTCCACAGTCATTGTACCATTTTCATTCCCAGCAGCAATGAATGAGGGTGCCTATTATTCCATGTCCTTGCTAGAATTTGGTGTTGTTAGTGAGACAGGGATCATGGGAACAAGTGCCAAGTGGAAAACATTACGCACCTGGGGCACTTTCTGTTGGCTGTTACTCTTTTTTCTTTTTTAAATAATTTATTTATTTTTTTAATTTACATCCAAGTTAGCATATGGCACAACAATGATTTCAGGAGTGGATTTCTTAATGCCCCTTACCCCTTTAGCCCATCGCCCCTCACCCACAGCCCCTGCAGCAACCCTCTGTCTGTTCTCTATTTTTAAGAGTCTCT